CTGTATCAAGCAGCATGAAATATAAATTAACCCATTCTTAATTTATACTAAAATTGGAAAGAAATAAATGTTTTAAATACTTTAGCTTTACTTTAGTTTTAAATAGTATTATCGATTTCTAGATACATATTTCCTGTTTAAGTTAATTGTAGAATTAAGTGGATCAATTTATATAATATTAATTGAAGAAAACTACTGTTGTAAAGTTAACATGCATTAACTGTAGCTAAGATTATGAAGAAATAATTAAAAAGTGGTGAATAAAAGACGATTGGGGATAATGATCGTGAATATTATGGTACATCAAATAAAATGATTCTGATGATCTCTAAAAAATACGTGAAGATTTCATAAAACAATGAACACTTGTAGAAAGCTGTATATGACTGCATGGGAAGACCATTAATGTCCTATTGAAATGCTATTACCTACGCAAAGAAATCCTTCACCCAGAGTAACTATAGAGCACACACTACCTTTATTGTAGAGCAGTGAGTTTTTGTAGCTTAAATATTACAATGTATGGAGTATTAAATAGATGCTGTTTACATACATGACGATTTGATTAGCGCGTTCCATGACGTTTGCTTCGTCTTTTGGAAGCACCCTCTCAAGCGGACTATGAGTATCTCGTCTGAGTTTATTATTACTATGAGGCTGGTCTTCCCTGCCCCTTATTAAGTAACCCTTCATCGTAGTTACATTTGATGGGTGTTGCGTTTGATTAATGTTTCGAGATTGTGGCCACGACAATCGGTTGTTGTTTACATTGTCGTTGTTTTCGAGTTGTATAGAAGATAATGTGGTAATGGGTATAGTTGATGGTATACAGACACTGCGCTGCTTCTGATAGCTTGGTGGACGATTATGTTTGTGCGAACTGAAAAAGTCTCTCATGCTTAGTTTTTCTTTGGTAGTTTTATGTATCCGAATATTGTTCAGCATCAATATTTAAGCTTTTAATTTTGCTTACTCATGATTTCAGAAAGGAAATGGTTTCATTAATGAAAATCTTACGTGAATGATTTCGATGAAGTAATGTGACTGGCATGAATTGTATAACTAAAAAATTATTGTTGAATTGTTAACCATGCTTAAGAGTAATAGCAAATAAAGTAATATATTTTAAATAACAGGATATAACTGTACTGCGAAAGTTATGAATATTGCACTCTAATCACATTTAATACAGAAAAAGTGCATACAGAAAACTCTAAACAATATTTTTCACACATAAGATTGAAAAAAGTTATATGGATTTACAAACTGTTTATAATTTGTGAATTCTAACTTGTGTTATAAATTCAGTGAAATTTGTATTTTAAGCTTTGCTAATATGTTTTGCTAAAACTAAAAATAAACGTTGTAAATCCATAAGACATCTTAGCACAAAAAAAGGTAATTTTTGCCAAAATGACACATACAGTGGATCAAAAGACCACTTACGCGATTCGGTTAATAGTTAGATTGACGGTCGACAACGTCACAAGATGGCTACAGGGACAAAAGACATGTGGCCAATGTAAATATAATTAACGTTTGCTTCAATTATAAACACATAGGAACCTCTTCAGCTTGATGCAAATATTATCAACGTAGATTTATATTTTGTAGGGTGAGATAATATGCAGATAAAACATATTCAAAAACAAGCGCAATAACATTGCCATTTGTTTATCACGATCATTATTATATTACTAATAAATATTGCTCTATATTATGAGTACAAGCACTCAAATATTTTTGAGTCACCCTTTACGAGAGTAAAAATTATATAAAAGTAGATAAAAAATATGTATACCTTATCAAATTCTCGTTCGGTGTCCTATACCTGTTTTGTATTGATGTTTTTGTACCATCAGCTAGAATAAAACAAAAATTTTCATATTATTGTACATGGATAACTTTAGCGTAAATAAAACTACTCTATACCGTTAAAAGTATACTATACCTCGACCATGTCTATGAGCTCGACCTGCTTCTTGAAAAGCAAAATGAGCACGAAAAAATGCTCGAAGTATTGCCCACCTAAATACGGCAACCGGATCTGCACCCACTAATTCTCGAACAAAAGCAAGAGAAGAATTTTTCAATACACCAACAACACCATCCGGTCGCATTAAATCCAGATTTTTTTCTCTCATATTAGCAGCTTGGTACTTAACAGCCCCTGCGTAATGACGTACAACGAAGGCTGCTTCGCGTCGTTGTGGTGCTTCATAAAATGGATTGTCTTTATGTACTGAATTAAATTTTTGTAGCAGTGTCTCATTCGTTGCACCCGGAAAGCTGTTATAAAAAAAATTTTAATTTAGAGAAATGCTGTGTCACTTGTATCTTCAGAATAAAAGTAATATTGAATACTAACTTGCATTGATCATCTAAAAGACAAAGAAGGCCATTCGGTTTCCCTTCTATTAAATTTAAACAACCTGAATTATCACTGTAGCCTATATCTGTCCATCTAATCCCCTGTTTTCTGTACTCTCGTTGTTCGTATTGAAAAACATGTTGATTGAAATAGTGTTGTAATTGTTCATTAGCGTAATTTATACATAACTGTTCGAAGCTATTGCACATTTTAAAGTCTTCAAAACCAAAGATATCTAATACACCTATACTGTTGCCTTGATGATCTCTGAGGGTATCTTTTTTTGAAAGTAAAGCATGATTTACCTAACAAAAACAGAATGTTAATTTACAATGTTTGTTAAGACTGATTTAGATTACTTATAATTTTTAATAAAACTATCTTACCTGAAGTACAATCCAATCAAATAGAGCTCCATATAAACATTTAGCCATAGCGTCTCTTGCTGCAATTGCTTCTGGAAGCCTGTAATTAATAACTAATGTTTCTCCAGACGCTCTTGCACGTTTAGCAGTAAGTGCAGCCAAAAGGGTTTCTTGTTTCACTCTAAGAAGCTCAGATATCAATGCAACCACTTCAGGATTTTTAACTCCTACAGCTTCGTCGTGATGGTGATAAGACTTTCTCGGCTGAAACTCCACATTACCTAAAATAATATCGCAGTTAGTTTCCGTTACAAACAATTATAGCAATAATTTATTAATCACCGAGTAGAAGAACAGCTGACAGAACTGCAAACAATCGTCTTTGCTTTTCTGGCGTAAATCCAACCATTTCCATAGATTGTTTCAGTCTTGAAAATTCGTGTCGTTCATCAACATTTTCCAGTCCATAACAACCACTTTTGTTTAAATAGTTATAACGATCACAACTTTCTAAATGTAAAAGTTGCTTTTCCTGTTCACTTGCTCCAGCCAAAAGATAATAAAATACATGGTAATTTCTTTCATTTCTTCCTTGAGAAACTATTCTTGATTTTTCCAAAAGATACTTTTGTACAACCGCCCTGAAGATAATTTTATCACAGTCTCCAATAATTATAAAACTATGTAATACTACATTTATCTGTAAACTTACCCGTGGACCATTCCATTTTCCTTATAATTCACTTGAATAAATTTACCAAAACGACTACTATTATTATTATGTGCAGTTTTTGCATTTCCAAATGCTTCCAGTACAGGACCAGCACTAAGTATTGTCTGTTCAACACCACTTCCATGGGAACCTTTCTGGCTAAGTGCTGTTAGATGATGCAGTAGAAAATTTGTTGACTCTGTTTTACCCGAACCACTCTCACCACTAATAACAATGCACTGATTTCTTTTTTCTTTAAGCATACAATGATAAGCTGCATCGGCTATGGCAAATATATGTGGAGGTATATCTGGCCCCAACCTTCTATTTTGATAGAGTTTTACATATTTTGGATTGTAAATAGGATAAAATTTAAACGGATTTAATGCAATTAGTATGCTGCCAACATATGTATATATGTTTCCAGCTAAAAATCTAGCACGAAGGTTGTCCAATAGAGTTTGTTCATTAAGATCCGGAAGTTGGCATAGATCTGGATACTCCTTGTCTCTTGGTTGATACAAGAATCTATTAAAATAGTCCTTAAGGAGTTGTGGATCCATGGGAAATCTACTATCTGACCACAAATAATCTGGTTGTTTTTTACGCAAATAAAACCTAAAAATAAAAAA